GCTACTTATTGTAACCTACATACGAATTTCAAAAGTCTAAGTCTGTTTGAACGCCGTGCTGGAAATAATTCTTTGTTTGTTCAAGAAATACAGCAGTAATAGCAGCAGCAGCAACGGCAGCAACAACCAAACAAATTTTAAATCTTATAAGTGAAACCGTGAGAGAAAACCTTGTTATGTACAAAACGTAAAGTATTCATAAAACGTCCAAGAAGTTTAAGTGAAATGCTGGAATTGCAAACTCTTGCCACGTACGTGCAGATATGAGCAAAATTACGTATATATATAAATATATTAAACTTATAATACAACTGTGCGCATATGTAAATACCCTCTTATTCATTGACGAACATACAAACATACAATGACATTTTACAACCATTAAAATTTCTCAATAATGTTCAATAATAAAGTAAACATTAATTTTTATGTTCATATGCACACAGGAGGTGTGCATACGTATGTTGTAAGCGTTACTATATTTATGAATGTGGGTTTGTGCGCGTACTAGTTTATATGAATATAAGCGCAATTCTTTTTAATGCACGAGTTTGGATGAACGTTTGCTTGTGAATTTCGCATGTAAATGTATATGTACATATGTGCACAACCATGTATATAACTGTGTGTGTATTATTTGAATCAAATTTCCCCATACGTGCCAATGAATACCAAAAGCTGTCGCTATTACGGCTGATACTGGATGCGGTAACCATAAGTAAGATATGGCGGAAATTTAAATACGATGGAAAAAGCAAACACCTGTGTACACGCAGGCGGATTTGATCATAATATTTATATGCAAAATAAATACTTAAACATATATGCCCTCAAACATATACACACAAACAATTGTTTGCATACAACCGATTACGTATAACTAAATAATTGAATTAATTTCTTTCGTTTTATTTCGTGTCTTGTTCCATTTCCATTAAATTTCGAAGTAATAAATCCAACCAACGAATGTTTGCCGTATTCTAGGCGGTTTTTAAAATATATTGTTTCATATCTTTATGTAATCACTTGCGGGCGATTTTACTTTATTGTTTCGGATTACTACTGAAATGCATGGAGCACTAAGGAAAGCTCAGCAAGTTTATATTCCAACTAAGTGAAAATACAGAGTACGGCCTGGATAATGTCAATTTTGAGATAAAGAAAGAAGACCGCTGTGGATGTGCTAAGGACGGAAAGAAATTTTTAGTGGCTCTGAACGCTATTTTAATGCGAACGAACCATCGTTTTTCAGAGCTGACTAATACGCACAGAAATTAAGTCCAATAAGTTAAGATGGTCCTAATCGCCAGGGGTTTTTCAAAGGAAAATGTAAAAAATTAACGTTTCTAGGAAATATCTCAAATATTGCGACTTGTAGGTTAAATACAGAATACATCGGACAGACAGACGTACAGTAGAAAGGAAAGTTTAGATTCTCATTCAGAGAGTGATACTGGATGGATGAATAATAAAAAAAAAACGTGATCTATTTCAACTCCTTGTGAGCATTGCATACAACTTAATATACCATGTGTCTCTACCAGTATAGGGTGTAAAATGGGCTTGGCTCTCTTCTCATATTAAATAATGCAAACACGAAACGATGGAAATTAATTCCATCGTCCAATTTATAGGAAAAAATAACTTGGCAAGTAAAATTAATAAAAATACTTTATATAAGAGTGTGAATGCGTTGGCAAATTGAAGTAATATTATAATAGAGTTTTTGATAAAAAAAAGTCTTCGACTTTTTTGTTATGTAAAAGAAATTTTGTACGATTTTTCTAAAAAATTTTTAACATTTAAAATTTTGTTTAAGGCTTTTCTGTAAATATTCAAAAAATAAATTCTATATATTGCTTCACTTTTTCTGTCTTTTGTTAATAGCTAGCATATGAAAACCGTCATAGTTTTCAAATAAAAATTCACTTTTGCTATCAGTGGTTTGCATAACTGTACAGGATTACGTTTATTAGTGTGGCGAGTGAATATACACCCACAATCATTATTATACCACAAAAAAAAAAGAACTGAGAAGAGAAAAAACGGAAAACTGAATATTAAATTCCTTTGAAAATAAGACTGTGAAAAAACTGAAAACATAAAAAAACCGAACTTTAAACAAACGATAACTGCGGTTGTTGTGTGAAGCATGAAGCTAGTGCTTGCTCTACATATAGTTTTATATCCTTTTGCCGCCATAAAACAAGTTCCCATCATCGTCATCATCATCATGATCATGTATCTGCACCCATACATAAATGAGTATGTTAGGAGTGCATCTGTATGTACTTAGATTTGCTTATAAATGTATGGGAGTAACGCAAACCAACTTTATTGGTCGTTGATTTGTTTTGGTCTGTGTTGACGGAAAGGATAGTTAAGGGGAGTTATTTGAATATTGTTGCGCTGAGTTAAATTTAACATATTTGCAAATTTGAGGGTTCACGATACGCCCGACTTTTTAGCTATTGCATTGCTGCACTTTGCTAGAAATAACGATATCATAGAAGAGTTTATAAGCCAAAGTTAATGGAGAGAAAAGTTCGTTTTAGTACATATTTATGTACATTTTTATACCCATCAATGAAGAATGCGGGATATATTCCTATTGTCAGAACGTTTGCAACGGCCTGACGGAAACTTCGGAGACCCTACAAAGTGTATATTTTCTTGATTAGCATCGAATTCTTCAATAGCGCGTCCGTCTTTCCGCCTGTCCGTCTGTGTGATATCTATCGTAAAAATTCTTCTGGCCGCAAACATGGGACTATTGACTTCAAATTTGGCTGAAACATTGGAAGTTCTGCTATTTATTGGCCAAAGGCCACGCCCACAGCACTGCGTGAACTGACACGAAAGAGGAATAAAATATTACAGCAGATAAATGTTCAAAAACTTAAACGTATATTTATACCCGTATAAATAAGAAGAATATGTAACGCCTGTTTAGTTTTATACTCTGTCATAGCTTCATTTTTTCACATCCTTTATAATGCGCAAAAACAAAATTCAAAGACCCCATAAAGCGTATAAATTTTTGGCTAGTCCCAAATTCGGAATGCATCGAAGCATGTCCGTCATTGCGTCTGTACGCCTGACCAACTGCGCACTAAGGTGGTGAACATTCCCCCTTTAGCGAAAACGTACATATCACCTACAAATTTGCAAACGAATTTGGAAGTGATGCAAATTTTTTAAAGAAAGCGCTTACTATGTCGACACGCCTATGCGAAAAAAAACCTTTATTTTGAAAATAGAAAAATTCAGCCGCGACCTCTCTATTTTGTAGACAATGAAAATTTAATTCTTTTATTTCTTCGTCTTTTTTAGGATAAAAGTGATGGGAATAAAAGATTCGGTCACGACCGAATATAATTTTCTTACTTGTTTCCTTATTTTTTACACGATTTTAAAGTTCTAACAGGTGGGCCATACTATAAAAGTTTCAAATTACAAAAAAAAAACCAAAAAGTTTGAGAAATAAGTGAAACCAAAAGAAATTACATTCGGCTTGGATGAAGTCTTTTGATATATTTTGCATTTTCTTCTTTTTTTTTTTTTAACGTAATAGATACCGAAGGCATATATTTGTAGTAAGATATATGATGGTTTCACGTACACAAAATTATCCCGTTCCATATAAGCAAAAACTGGACAGACATTTGTGCCATGCGGCTGAGAGTGTTGCAATTGCCAGACACATAACCTCCTTAAGGTAAGTTATGGACGCAGCAAAACATTTCTTCATTTGATTAAAAAGCATGACAATCACAGTCACTTAATTAACTGTAAGGTAACCCCGAAGATGGTTTCTTAGAAAACACGATTTTTTCTTCGCCTTCTTTTCTACATCTTTACTACACCTTTGATTTTGGTCGAAAAACTAAGAAGGGACCTACAAGAAATGGAAAAGTCGCAAAAAAAAAATTCAAATGATAAAGTCAAACCGTTATAAACGGACAAAACCGCCAAATACAATACACCACTTCGTCTAAGAAATTTCTTTATATGTTTTCACAATAAAATTATTAGTAAATAAATATGCTTTGTTTCCATGTAAAGTCATATTTTTCATAGCAGGAGGAGGGGGGGAAGGGCATTTGGGATTGGGCTCAAATCGTCGGCGCATCCCACCCAAACATTTTACATTTCGTCCCTGGGCCAAAACGTATCAGCTTACAGATTTTGGTCAAAATATCTCTAAAATTACCACTTTTAGGTTCAATGCAATAATATGTGGACAGATGGACAGAAAATGGATCTGGATCTGTCGGCATAGTAAAAATTGTGTTTTTGTTAAGTACTACTGAGCGGTACATATATCCCCACTAACTCGCTGTAGCGTAGGGTGTAAACAAATGCTAAAAGTGCAAAGCTTCCGGCGAAGATATGGCTAAACTAAATGCCATTCAATTTATTGGCGCTGACCTCTTACAAAAATATAGTGCATTATCCAACGATTTTCACAGCAACGATTTATGCAATGCGTTGTTCATGGCCCGTCGTACAATATAAGCGCTAATTACACCTAATAATCGTAGGCCTGTGCTTGAAAATTGATTTTTCCAATCGCTCAGAATATTCCCAGCTAAAAAATTTTAACCTTCTTATACCATAAACTCTTTATTGGTTTTTCACCTCGCGTTACGACTTCAATTTAAGATCAGTTTTGCTTTGTTTTTTATTATTTGCGGGTATTGTAGTATTCATCTTATGTAGTATTCATCTTATGTTATTCAAGTAACTATCTCCCACCTCTGCTCCTTAATTTCAACCGTTTAAAGTATCAAGTATCGTGCCCAACACCAGTCATGCTTATGTCGCGATCCATATATATATATAGAATTTGCAGTATACACGCAGTGCTCTACAAAATTGACTCAATTCTGTGAAGGTGTGTAAATGATGCCATGCTTTTCTTTTTCGAACAAAAGCAGTCATGCCAACCGTAAACAAAAAAACATGTGTTATTTTGCAGTCACTTTACGTATTCCTGCGAAGTACAAAATTCAAGCACAAAAGTGACAAAAGTGCGAGATATACCTCATGTAAGTTTTCCATTTTTATTCAATGTTTATATACATTTGAAAGTAAAATTTTGGACTTATATTTAACACAAAACAAATATTTCGAAATTTTGAAAATTGAATGGGCGTGACTGATGCTTTCTATTGCGCATTTAGGATAAACTATAGAATTCCCACACAAATTTTTTATTGTGGTATGTGTCGCGGTTGATAAGCAATGAAAGCATAAAACTGAAATTGTTGTTTCTTTTCCTAGTTTACGTGCTACTGCAGGCGTGTCCCTCGACCATTTTGGCACATCCTCATTACCATACTAAGTGCAAGAACTTGCAACATTTATAACAACTTTTAAAGCCGGTAAGTTAATTTTTGTGACCAGACGGGTATATTTAAACCGATTCCGAATTTGAAGCTTGTCAAGAATATTTATACTTTGTGGGATCTCTGAAGCTTCCTTATGGATGTTACATACGTTTTGACACATACTTTGACATATACTTTTCATTATTCGTTGATGGTCATCACCGATAATGTAGCGTAAAATTCCATTTTTTTATGTTTTCTGTTGCAAACTCAGAGCAAAAATGAAAAATAACAAATAAATAAAATATAAAATAACGAAAGTTAGCGAGATCAAATTTGAACCATATGAGCCTATTTTTTTAGCTCAGTCTCATATAAGGTTTCTCATGAATAACAAGCTCTTCGGGAAAATAGTTCAATTTTTAGTATATGTAATGAAAATTGGTCCCTGGTAGCATAGCAGTGGCGGGAATTTGGGTCACATCGGTTTATTTTTGAGAACTTACCATATGTAAGGGTGCTCACGAAAAATAAGCAACAAACTTTAATTTATGACTCTCTATGACGGAAACAACTGAAAAATAATAAAATCTTTAACACATTAATTATATTTTTTAGATTTGGGTATACTGTATGAGAGCCTTGATGGATAGTGTGATTTTACATGAAAGGAATTTTTGACGAGTTATCCCCAACGTGAATGGGTATTTGCACTAGTCGAATTGGTGTTGAGAATTGAATGATCGACCTTGCTCGACCTTGCTCTTTCCATTTGTTTTCTTTAATTTAAATTTTCCTTTATATATATATTTTTTTAATTTTATTCAAAATCATATTTTACTATTTTTTGCGTGTTACAACCCAACCGCTTATATTATTTATTTCAATCGGCTCTATTCTATTTTCATTTAACCACTAAAGCATATTGCTCGGACCGAAACAAGGCTTCAAAAGTATACTAAAGCAGTTTTTAAATAAATATCGAAATAAATTCTTGTACAGACACTAGCTGTGCGTGCGCCACGCTATTTTAGACCACCTATAAGAAATGAATGCAACAGTGATAACGAGTTAATTCGCAACAAATCAAAGATGAACTACTTGCCAACGGTGTCTTCCTCCCATGCTCGGGGGCTAAACAAAGATTTTTCCAAGAATTTAAGATTCTTTCGGCCATTAAACGGAAATGTCTGTGAAACTCTTCTTGGGCCATTTTCACTTGATATATTTTGCTGTAGTGACTTTTGTAGACAGGCACGTGAAAAACTACGAATGTGTTAATGTCTTTGAAAAAAATATTATTATCATTATTATTATTATTAACTTAGCCAGAGAAATAAATTCTAAGACTAAACTCTTAAAAGCAATAGCATCTAAGGCTATCGGATTTTATTAAAAACTCTAACGGACTTGGGATTCGAACCCACGACCATTGACTAGTCGAGATTCCTCGCTTTCGGCTACTCAGGCGGATTTGAAAAAAATAAAAACAAATGATTCACTGTAAGGTGACTAACGAACATTTTTGATTTGTATCAGATTAGAAAATTAAAGTTTCAAATGACAGAGAACAAAGAGAAACACTAGTGGCAACGAAAAGCGCCAATCTATACACAAAGTTTATGTCTAAAATGCGGGATGTGAAACCGTTATTTTGTTCCATTTGATTTATTGTGCCATCTCTTAAATTAAGTATCTTCCTTCTCCGCTAAGCTAATGCCGCTGACCGACTTTGATTTGTTCTTTATGATCTAATAATTTATTTAACGCAATAGTCATTTTTTCCTTTACATAGTTTATAAAAAAAGTACCATATGTGTTGAATGGAGAGAGCACGAGAGTTTCGTTCAATAAATTGAAACGCTTCGATTCTGTTAAAGTGTGATAAATTAAGGTCCGACTCTGTTAGTACATGAAATTTATGTTCGATTCTATTAGTGTAAGATTCAGTTTTTCACAATGAAACGTCGAAAATCGATATTATTTAGAGGTTTTATTTCTCAGGGGTTATTATCTTGTTATATAATTGTATTATTCTTATTTTTTTAGCTATTGATGCAGCACGAGCGTCGCTTACAAAAGCTCACGACTGGATACCATTAAATTTATTTGATTAGATTTTGTCCGGTCGTCCTTGATGAATAGCAGTTGACAAGCCGAAAATTCCAAATTCCGCGTTGAAGCTTGATAATTGGTACACATCTTTAGCAGCAACTGGCAAGCAGTGTTTGTGACACTTAAACTGATACCTGAATATCAATTGAATGCATAAAAACATGGCAATTGCATCGAAACAATGTTGGACCAGCTGGGACCAGCACCCAACGGCTTTCTAAAATCGATAAGACAAAGGCAAGAGAGAAAACTTAAAATTCGACACCGAAATAGACATGATCCTTCTCACTCTTTTAATGTTATACTCTTTTTGTTTGTACGCATAAGCGTTCAAGGTTACATTATCAAACTGGTTGCGTTTATTTTATTAATATATCATGGTCTCCTACTGTATGCCTCGTGGTCGTTTCCGTATTAAACCGCCAAATTTTCGCCAATTACGTCAGAAACATAATTGAGAAGAAAGCAAATGGCCTGCATTAAGAAGTTTTCGTCCAAAATTTTCGCAGAAAATTGGAAATGGTGACGACAATAACGCAAAGCAGCCAGAAGTCACCATTTGTGGCATTGTGCGTGTTAAGCCACCTCTTAGTCCAACGCATTCAATTCATTTGAATAAGCAACAAGGTTTACAACAGGAACATCGCAATGCTTTGCTAAGATAGACAACTGTTCTGTTTTTAGTGCTATCGAATGGCAATTAAACAAGCAAAATTGTATAAAAAACCGAATACTCCATACGGCGACGCAATTTCAATCCAAAATATACAGTCTACTACCATTACGTTTACGTTACGTGCGCTACTGGGGTTGGTTGGCTTCATGTTATATACTAGAAAGTATGCGGCTGACGAGGATGATCGTCATTACGATCGATTCTGATGCCACATAAAATAAATAAAAATGAAATGTATGATTAAACGATAAAATTCTCGTCTTTTACGCTGTGAGTAACGATCAAGAAGGGAAAAAGATAAAAATGGTACAAATAAATATGCCAGGGAAATAGATTGAGATAATCATTTATCATTTCCATTGCGATTTGTATGGATCGGGGACATTTTTATAATGTTTGGGGAGATTTTCATCGTGGTTGGAAAGAATTTACCATAGTTGAAACGAATTTTATCATTGTCGGATATGTTTGCATTTATTGAAAGCAACTCTGTGCTCTCTCCAGTCTCAATAAAAGGGGATTTTTTTAATAAGCAACGTAAGGGAAAAACCAGATAATGGCTTTTAGCCTACCGGCTTATCAATGTTACTATTATCATTATCAATGGCAGAGTTTTTCCCACCATCTGAGTTTTGCGCCTGCCCACCGCGCACCGATATCAAAGAAATATGTTTTGCGGAAGTGAAGCCAAGTTAGAAATGCAAATTTTGAAATGAATTTAACGCCATCTTTGTCGGGTGACGAAAAACACTACTGTGTATATCGAGTTGAAATTGTTAATTAACCGTTTGTTGCAATTTAGATTCACCTAAAATGCTGCTTGTCATTTTGTTTTTATTTAAATGAAAGTTTTATTATAGTATCGTTATAATTACAATACAAAAATTTTATCAATTAAATATTTTGATTTTACTTATCTTTGGTTATGCTGAATTTTTATGCATTTATAAAGATTATATTTCAATGTAAGCATATTCCCACATCCCATTCATTTTATAGCCAGATTAACAGCACAACATTATAAACTTTAAATGTTTGAAAATTTAAAGAATTAAAAATAAAAATTTTATGTTAAGGATGGGATATATTTAACGGATAACATATAGAATTTTCTATACTCTATACTGGTGTTACAGAGTATATATTTATTTGCGCGGACGTATGTAACACGAACAAGGCCTTAAGATAGACCCATTTTTTATTATACTGAACGATGCAGAATCATAATCTAAACTGATGTAAGCCTGTCTCGAAGCCTGTTCGAACACCAGGTCTCAATTCTTGAGATATTTCGATAAAATTTGATATAGTGACGTATTTTGACTCAAGTACGAGCGTTATGAAAAATGGTTCGGATCGGTCCACATTTTCGGCCACTCGCCGCATAAGGCCCTAGTCCGAAAAGTCGTTTCATGAAAAAATTGCAATTTTCGAAATTTCTCGCCAAAAGTGACTAAGTAGTAGTTTTTCGGCATTCTAAATTGGTATGAAAACTTTAAACCGGCTGCGACAATTTCACGAAAATCGACCCTTTGTAAAGTAGTAAAGCCTAAGTTTTAATATGTGACGATGAAAACTATCTCATAATAGTAATTTCAAAAAAATATGAACTCTACAAAATTTGGACAATCTACGTATATTTTTGGATCTTTTTATATGTAACTTGTACTACATTAGCTCGCGTTTTGGCAACGTCTCCCCATAAATACGCACTAAACAAGATATAAGTTTTGCGTTCTATAATAAAAATAAGAATTATGTTAGACAGTGTTGTGTATGGAATGTAATGATCGGTCCTGGCCGACTATAATGTTCTTACTTGCTTTTTAAGTATTTTATTTGGGTATTTGTTTACACATGAAACTCAAAGTATATATATTCTTGAACAGCGTAAAATTTGTAAAGCACCTGAACATCTCCGAATGTCCATCTGTCTGGGTAACTGTGTAGAATCAGCGGTAAACACTCTACCGTTAGCGAAAATGAAACTAACGTCAACAAATCTGCAAAACATTAGAGGTGACGCAAACTTTTCATAAGAAACGCCTACACCGTCCGCACGCCTATGCGAGAAAAAGTTGTATTTTGAAATTAGCAAAAATCAGCTGCGGCTACTCCATATTGTAGAATATGAACATTTTGCCGCTTTACCGTTTCTGTCTTTTTTAAGGGTAAGGGTGATGGGTATAAAATATTCGTTCACGACCGAATATAATCGTCTTACTTGTTTCGCTTGAAGAAGGCATTTGATGACAAAATTTGGTACAATATATATTAATCAAAATATGTTCAATCGTTTTGTAAAGCGTTTTCGCATTTTTCTGGCAGCGAGGCGTACCGTGTCGAACGAACTTATATTGTCTTGACAGCGGTCCAATCATCGAGCCGTTTTCCCACTTCTACAACTTTGGGGAGCGTCGTGCCAGCCATGCCATGGTGTATCGATCCGAACAAATGATACTCAAAAAGTGCTATATCTGGTAAATGCGCTAGCGGCAGCAGAATTTTCAACTCGAGCTGCAAGAGTGTGTCCTTGACAACTCCTGCGAAATGTGGACGTAGTGGCATTTTCAGTTAATTCGTATGGTGGACATTTTCCCTCCTTTCCGATCTTTTCCATCAGATGTGAACGTCTAGAAATAGTTGATCCGTCAATTGCTGAGCTGATCGAAAGTTCTTTGAAATTGGATTTTCGTCCAATAAGCCTTGCAATTCGTTGTCTTCGTATTTTTTTAGAACTCGAGGCCGTTCTTTATCATTACCACTTGGAGACTGTTGAAACCAAACCCGGAAATTGGAATATGATGAAGCAGCGTCACCATAAGCTTCTAAAAACCTTTGATGTGACAACAAAAGTTCCATGATTAGTGTTTGTAGACGATGAATAGTTCGATGATACTAAATGGAAAAGTCTTACTTTATTAAGAAAAAAATTGGCAAAATCATCTAAATTAAATGTTATTTATATTGATTCTTTCCATTACTTTATCATTTTCATCAATTGATATTGCTGATCAAAATACGTGCAGGAAAGCATTAAGTATGATTGGTCACACCGTTTCCTGTTTATTTTGTAACAGGTACTATTTCCAAAAATTAATTTAACCGTCTTTCTATAACAAAAGGATAGTGTACATAATATGAACACTCGCTCATTATAATCTTAAGCTAAATTACATAACAGTGACTTTCCTGGTCCAAAGAAAGTGTTTGAATAGTTGGGCTGTCGGATCAATTCCACCATTATTCCAAGGAATTATTATATTTCCGCGATGTTCTTCCTATTACAAAAAACAAAAGAGTTCTTGCAAAACCCTTGAGACATATTACGAAATTGAAAATAAGACACGGATGAAAGAAAAGCCGACGAAAGTGAATCCAAATATTATTGTTCGGCTTTTCAAATGGACGTATTTTGGAAATTAACCATGTCTGTCAATACCAACACTGTTCACGGGCTTGCTGGAGAGAATTG